TCCTTAATATTATAATAACTCTTTTTATACAAACTTAATTTAATAACATTTTTGAACTTTGTGTATGACAAATTTTGTATATTTTATGAGATTTTGTTGTAAAAGCGTATACATCGCCCCAAGAGTGAATTACTGACTCGGTGGAGTCGAGTAACTGGTACTACTACAGCTTGTGTCTGCTCCTAGTATTACAGAATGAATATCACTTATTTTCGCAAAACTACTTTTATTTTTGTGTACGTACATTACATTTTCATAAATGTATTGAGAGGCCAGAGTTAATATATTGATTTCCTTAAATTTTTGTCTCAGTGACTCTTTTGGGTTTTAAATTATATATTGCTCTAATGGCCCTCTACTGCAAAATAAATATAATTTCAGTGTCAGGCGCGGGCCCCCATAGCAAAATACCATACGACATAATGCTATGGAAATAACTAAAGTAAACTATTCTAGCTGTTTCAACACTGGTAAGAGTTCTAATCTTTTTTACAGCATATGCTGCAGAACTAAGTCTGCTTTGCGTCCAGTGTGATTCCAAGAAAAATGGTGGTATCAACAAGACTCAGTTCCTGCCCATTTAAAATTACATTAGTATTGACATGTTTAACATTAGGAGTGACGAATTTGATACATTTCGTTTTAGGTCCCTTCAACAAATAAAACTGAACTCTTAATTCACACACGTAATACACAAACATATATAAAAAAACTAAATACATTTATCACAGTATTTTTAGCATCAATTTATAATTCATACGGCAATAAATCTGTATAAGTGTTCTATATTAAAGGGTTTATTATGTACTTAAAATTATTTAACGTGTTACTAAGTTCGTACCGCAAGCATTTTTGTAATTGTTTAGTTTACAAAAAGTTACAATGTACAATATTTTTAGTAAATCGAATGTAAGTATAAGCTACAATCATAAATGTAAAATCACAAATTTCGTAAACACACTTCATTTACATATAAAAATACATATAACAGACATTGCACCACACGTATCTCACAGTATTATGTATATTTGTAACATTCAACCTTTGCCGTCTGTCTTTAACAATAATGTCAATGGATAAAAATATTTTCAATAATTTACAAGAATTGGACAATATAGAGATAGCTTCCGCATATCAATGTGGTGTAGAAAATTTAAACAAATATTTAAAATTTACAACAACAGATTTCACAATTGTAAATAATAGGAAGTATTTATTCCAACTATGACGATTTTCAACTGACTTTAACTTCTCTACGGGTTAATGCCGACGTATTAATACTAACAGAATGTAGGATTCAATCTACCAAACCTATTCCGCGTCCAGGTAACTATAATTACTATATTACTCATCATCATGTTAATCAAAATGATGGAGTAGTGGTCTATATTAAAAAAATATTTCATCTCAAGTCAAAGAAATTAAGTTGACTCATGCATGGATCTTGCATACAAATCTACCTACAAAACTTAGTAATACTGGGAATATATAGGTCACCATCGAATCCCAAAGCAGAACAATTCATCAGTTCTCTTAGTGAACACCTGGATTCATTAAAATAGCATTCAAATATTGTAATAACAGGAGATATCAATATAAATATTACACCTAGACTTACAGAACAAAGGTAAGAAATGACTAATAGTTCGGAATACTTAAATATGCTTTCTATGTATGGGCTTTTACCGGCACATCATATCCCTACAAGAGACAACAGCTGCTTGGATCATTTCATACTAAAATTAAATCAAACTATTTCTGCTGAGATTGCTGTATTGAACACTTCTATCACAGACCATGCTATGATGATATTACTCAAATTAAGCAATATTAGACAAAATGTAATTAATGTTAAAATTAAACACAACACTGACTATTATAAAGCACTTGCCAGTCTAGCTCAAAAAAACCTGTCTAACCTTCTTTTTAGTGATAATCCAGAATATATAATACATCAATAAATTTATAAAATAAAAGAATCAATTGAAGAAAATACAAAAATTGTAAATATTTCTAGTAACAAGCGATAAATTAAACCATGGATAACAACAGGTATTTTAAAATGTATACGAAATAGGAATAGTATGCAAAAGAAGCTAAGATTGAATCCTTATAATGAAGTATTAAAAATTACATACAAAAGGTATCGCAACTATGTTACTAAATTAATCAAGAAACTTAAACGGGAATATGAAAGGAAACTTTTAGCAATATCATCCAAATCAAGTAAAACTCTCTGGAAGCACATAAAGAATATAACCCATACAAAACAATTAAGTGTCAATAGTTTAGACCTGTTAAGTTCGAAATCCTCACCAGTTGATTTGATTGATAAAATAAACGAGTACTTTGCTAGTGTGGGTAAAAATGTTGCCGAGAAAATAAGTACTAACGATCCTAATAATTGTTTATCTTTTTGCCATATTGATGAAGCACATAAAACTGTATCTGTAAAGGCACAGTTTTCCTTTGTTTTGATGGAAACCTATCCGGAAGAGATCAACACTATTATTGCAGGTCTCACATCAGATTCCGCCCCTGGCTGGGACAATATTTCAACCGGATTTCTCAAGATGGCTAAACAACTACTTGTCCCCATCTTCTGCCATTTTGTTAATATATGCTTTGAAAAGGGTGTCTTTCCGAAGCTGCTGAAGCAATCTATTGTAATACCGATATACAAAAGTGGAGGTAAGAAAGAAGTTGGTAATTATCGGCCAATCTCCTTGATGCCTGTGTTCTCAAAGATTTTGGAAAAGTTAATTAACAATAGACTTATACAGTATCTCTCTTTTAAAATATTAGCAGACTCTCAATTTGGCTTTAGAAAGGGATGCTCTACGGAAGATGCAGTTGCCGCGTTGAGTTGTCAAATTGTAAGTACCTTGGATAACGGCAGAAAATGTCTTGCTGTCTTCCTAGATCTAAAAAAAGGTCTTTGATACTGTATCAATCCCCATTCTTGTTAATAAATTAGAACAGATTGGTATCAGAGATATACCTCTAAAAGTTTTAAAGGATTACCTCTCTGACAGGACACAGATTGTAAGAATAGGTCAATACAGTAGTAGCTATACAAATGTTAATTATGGTGTACCGCAGGGAAGCGTACTCGGCCCTACGTTATTCTTAGTGTATATTAATAATCTGTGTAGTATGAGTGTGAATAGAGGAAGAGTTTTCTCATACGCAGATGACACTGCGATATTATTTTGGGGAGACACTTGGGAAGAAGTGCAATTGATAGCGGAAAAACAATTAGCTATGGTTGCTCGTTGGCTTGATAATAACTTACTTACTTTGAATGTTAATAAAACTCAATTCATATGTTTTTCTATAACTAGCCGATCACAGCCAAAGGATGATTTTAGACTCAAAATACATAAATGTTACAATCCTTCCAGCGGTAACTGTACGTGTACATCTATTGAAAAAGTTTCATACATAAAGTATCTGGGCGTTAGGTGGATCAACGACTTTCCTGGTACAAACATGTCGAATTAGTGTCTAGTAGAATTCGAAAACTCACTTGGATATTTAAAACTTTAAGATATGTTGCTTGTCCAGATCTTTTAAATCAAATTTATGTAGCGCTTGCTCAATCTATTATAATATATTGTATACCTATTTGGGGGGGAGGGGTACTTATAAAAGTAAATTTATTGAAGTTGAGAGAGCTCAAAGATGTTTATTGAAAGTTATACATTTTAAGCCATATAGGTTCTCCACTAGCATTTTGTATTCATCTTGTGGGCTGATTTCGGTGAGGCAGTTGTACATATTACTCACTTTGTTAAAAAAACGTAAGTCTTTGTCCTTTAATCCTACCTACGATAGTAAAGGAAGAAATTATATATCAGAACACTTATATAATCAAATTAATAAAATATTGCAAATATATCTGTTAAAGACATACGATTGTAAGAAAAAAATAATGCAATGGCTTAAGACACTTAATTACGATCGAACTGAAGCTTTATTAGAATTTATCCTATAAACGCAATCACTCACTGTCTTTTTCTCATACATACACACGTACACACACACACACACACACACACACGCGCGCGCGCGCGCACACGCACGCACCGCACGCACACACGCACGCACCCACATACACACGTACACGCACGCACACACGCACACGCAAGCACCCATACACACGCACACGCACGCACACACACACCCGCTGTTTCTCTTATGTTAAATGTACTTAGTTAAGGGAGGGCGAGGGCCTTCTACTACAAGTATTTTTAAACTTAAAAGAAGTCCTTTATACTTAAAAGAAGTCCTCAAACTCGTACTAATTTTAAGAAAATGTTGGAAAACAATAAACGTTCATTTCAAACTTTCATTCATTTCATCAAATGTGTAACCACTCAACATAATTAAAAACAGTGTTTGCCAACATGCTGTCCAAGGTTGATAACTATTGTAAAATGCCCAGCAATAAACTATTATAGCTCATATAGATTGTAAAATTAACTTAACTGCCTCATTGGTTAAGTGGTTGTAGTAGTGCAACTGCTGATTATGAGGTCCTGGGTTCGAATCCCGGGTCTAGCCAAAAAACCAAACACAAAAAAAAATATTGAGTTTTTCTGTCAATAAATTCTCAGTAGCTGCCAGGAGTCCAGAAGTTGGCCGTGTCTCACCCCTTGCCTCGGAAATCATGTAAAGCTGTTGGTCCTGCTCCTGATCCTTTCCGGTCGTGTCGGTGTACGGTCCCATCGGATTATGAGAGTGAGGGAATAGAGAGTGCACTTGTGCTTGTGCATACACTTGGGCACTATAATCCCGTTCTGCGACGATGGCTAGTCTCCATTGAGCAGCCGTGACCGAAATTCGGTCTGCAGGACATTATTATTATTAAAATTAACTTTATTTGCTCATAGTTTTCATTGCCAAAGGAAAAACACTGTAAATTTTACCTTGTTCGTTTTTGAGAAACATTTTTAATAAAATAGAATAACAATATCTTGTGTGGTTATCTTTTACAGATAGCTCCAGCAAGTGGTTTCCAACAAACTTCCCTTCCATTATCAGCAGCACAGTTGCACCAATTGCAGACAACTGGTACTATAATGCAATTTAATCAAAAGGTATGTCAGACGGTGTTATTATATAGAGATTCTTTCCTTAAGATAATTTGGTGCCTTATGTTAAATAAATGCAAGTTGCTGATTTACTTATTTCAATTATTAGTATGTTAATAAAACATTAATATTGTTTAGTAATTCAAAGTGTCCTTAAATTTATATGACTTTTCCAACAGCCCATAGTAAGCAGTGCCTCTCTCATAAATATTATTTCGACTGGACAAGCGTCTTCTCCACAAATTATATCTGTGAGCATTTGTTGCAGTTTGTTCATACTAATTCCTTTATTTATTTCTCTTATTCATGCTGTTACTACTTCTCAGTTATTTCTTTTTGTTCTTCATGGACTATCACTAGCTTTCCGTTTTTGTTGCTATTGGTATTTCCGCTGTTACCTTATTATAACCATCTTACCATCTTTAATTTATACTGTCCTTTTCCAATTTAATCTTTTTTTTTTACTTCAAATCTTCTCTCATAACTCATACCTCACACATTTATATCATTATTCACAGTTTTAATTTTTTTACCCCATCACAGATTGTGCGCTTTCCATTTTTGTTTTCTTTTATATTAGCATTTATCTTTTCATCACTTTAATGGAATTCTAGTTTCACCTTCGTCATATTGTTACTAACATTGATATTAGCTACATTTATTTTTAGTCAAGTTTCTAATTTCTTTACTTGGTGAATGGGAAAAGATCCAGGTATTAAATTGAAAATATATTTAATAGATGTAAAAGACAAAAACAGTTATGTTAATGTTTCGGGATTAAAGTGAAACTTTTTAGTCCTGTATATGTTACCATAGTGAAGCGTGTTCCGTCTTGTTGAAGGGAGGAAACATGAATGATATGTTATGGTGTTTAAACAATAAAAATATTACAGATAATTGTATTTGCCTGTATTTACTTACGATCAAACCAAAAAGACAAAACAAAGTAATTTTTTTAAAGCAATGACATACCATCAACATGTGACAAACCAATCGATGACAATGACAAACCGTCGATTTTTGTTACAAGTATCAAAAATACGATTATTTTTTATCTAGAATATTTGCTGAGATAATTAAGATCTTTGGCCCAAAACTGTGCCAGGCGCATAGTTTTGTCATAAATTCCGGTGGGTTTTGTATGAAATTGTGTGTGAGCAATATCATACAATACCAACTATACCCGCGCGTCTCATTTACTAGTACCTACACATAATAGTTTTTACTGCATAATTGTATGACGTAGTTGTGGGCAAAAAGGTTTCACTTGCGCAATACGATATTTTTTAACATTTGTTGTAACATGTCAATAATTAACACATTATTTACAACTGCAAAAGCTAAGTTAAAGATGCTATTGTATATATTATATATTATTTATTATATTATTATTATATTATATGCTGTCTTTTTACTGGCCATTTCTTTCGATATAACATCGCTAGATTATGAATAGTTATATATATATACGTATAAATTTTATTATTGTATAATAATAATCTTTCGAATATTTACCAAAACTAAAGTTTTTGATGAGAGATTTATTTGGATTTCAGAACTCATCTACACCTACAAAAAATTTAAATCAAGAATCTCGGGGACAAAAGAGACTTTCTGATGGTACCCCTAGTCAACTGCAATTGAGACCTATTGCACCTGCAGGGTAAGCAAGTTACACTATTACTGATTAATAACTTAAAACTTTCTTTCAGCCTATTTCAATATAAAACGGATTGCATGTACTAAGTAATAATTAAATTACATTAATTAGAAGCAATTGGTGTTTATAGAGTTGTGAAATGTTAAAATGAAAAATTCTTAAAATCAAAAATTAAGACCACTGCCCACCTACAAATAAACCCCTTAATATACAAACTCAAAATTATTCCCGGTGTATCAGTTTAGACCATGTCAGACTATCATTTTTCATATTTTTTTTAATATTTGACTAACCTCAGCAGCAAATGCGTTAACATTTTTTACTTGAGAAAGGTTTTCTTCTTTTTTGTTTTGTGGAAGTTAAAATGGTCACATATGTGTATTTTAGTGCCTTAAATTATATTTATTATTCATGGAAAAATTTTACATAAAAATATTTTTTTTAATCAAAATTATAAAATTGTTTGTCTTTGTGTGTATATTTAAATGATGTGATGATGCAGGTCGCATGTAAGCCAGGACAAAAGTTCAACGAGAGACTCGCGATCCTGGACCAACACAGCAGGTACATTGAAGATTTACAGCTGAAACTTTGTCTCACTTTGTATCAGAGAGGATCCACAGAGAATGTTCTAATTTACAACCAAACCCTGGATTCTTGAGAAATCACTCATATAAATTATTATCCACTCGTCTTTTCTCAGATATGAAGTGTTGCAAGATATTTTTGCTTTATCTATTTTGCTACTGTGACTTAACTAGCTTCTAACTCGTCCTTCGTTTCATATTTACCTAATTTTATCCAGCTTACCTCAAAGGACTGATTGTATTTATTATATTGAGTCTAATATTAGATATTACTTTTATTATAACTTTATTTAATTTTCTTAATACATGATCGACCTTATTACAAAAAGTGACTTATAATTAGTCTCAGGTTTGTTTCACGAAACATGTCCCGTGGAAATATATACAAACTAAATTGTTATGTATTGAGTTTGACAGAAACTGTTCGCGATGCCCGGACTATACTTCAACCATAATTTACCCTGACTATCAATAAGATAGACGTAGAAACCCGAGACTATCAATATACCATGTTTTGTAAAAAGACGGAATATTCTATGTATTTTCATATACACATTTTTAGGTAGTATAATGCATTAGCCAGATCTTGCTTCAATTATTATTATTATAAGTAATAGTTTTCTTTTACATTGGAGTCTTTGGATAACAGTATTATGACAGAGTTTCCGTTACGCCAGTTTAGTAAGCAGTTGTCAAGTTTTATATTTCTTTACATTTGCGACTAATATATTATTGTCTATCGAGAGCATACCTGTGTTTTAAACCTTAAAATAGTTATATTTTTATCAGTGTTGTAAGAGTTGGAAATAACTACATTTGCACTACTTTAGACATATTATTTATATATAGCCATATTATATTATATTGCTATTTAATTATATGATGTATATATTTTTAGTTTTTGTCTACATTTTGCATATTTCATTAATAATATTTACTTTTAAGATGTAGCTTAGAGGATCCTGAGATTTTTTTTTATAATTAATTTATACTTTAGGGTAACTTCAGGGTTGTAGAGTACTTATTCCATAAGGTCTGCCCAGGTGTCTTACAGTAAAGATTAAATAAATATCATTACAGGTGTTTACGCTCACACTCTGACTAGAATGATCAATTCAATAATTGATACCTATATTTTATCAGCACTACTGAATTGTATAATTATTATAAAATATACATTTATTTATCAATTTATATAATTTTGCAGATATTCTATAAAATTGAAATATAATTATCGAGTTTAAATTACTTGATTATTACTACTTATTACATTATTACTTGTTATTTGATTTTTATTTAATTTTTCTTTGGTAATGGACGTACGTTTGTACTTTAGTCAGTGTCAAGTATATTAAAAATATCCTTTATATTGTTTTTGGTCAAAACTAGTTCACAATATGTTGATGCGACACATTGCGAAGTTATTTGTAGATTTTAACAGCTGCTAAAGCCGGCAGCCACAGTCGATGACGATGGGTGCCTAAGCAGACCGCTTATCTTGAGATTCACATCACCATTGGAGCACCTGTTTTATCGTTTCCACTAATTGTTCACATGCGCACATATTTATTTCACAAAACCGCACCACTTTTACCTATTAAAACTACTTCTATACATTACTTAAAAATAATACAGGAGCAGCAATTCGCCGCCGTTCAAGATCCCGCCAAAACACCCAACATCTTATTTTAAATGGCTTCATGTGTTTATGTTTATTTTTTTTAACAGCTGAAAAGTAAGGAAGAAAGGGCAAAAGGCAAGAGAAAATTTTCGTCCTGTGTATTATTATTTTGTGTCTATCCCAAAGTCGGTTGGAAAAGTCATTATATATATATATATATATTACAGGTTCTTGGTGTTGCCAATTTTCATCTCAATATTTTTATAAACATTTTGATCCCAATATTTTACTATACTTGTGGAATTGCAAATGCGTATTATCAAAATGTTGTGTTCTCAGGAGAATAGTTAATAATTATTTTATTTGTATTTGTTGTCGTCGTGTTTAAATAGCGCAAACTTTTAATAGCATTTTGCGTCCATGAAAACGTTTAATTAGCAATAGGCGTAAAAATGGTTTCACTCGCTTTATTATAGCTATATTGATTAGACGATTTCATTTCATCACAAAACTATAGATTTATTTTTGTAACAGAAAATTTATACTATTTCTCAAATATATAAAAATGCAAGAGCCTAGTAGAAAAGAAGTATGTTTTATTTAGCAAAATAACGTAACTTATGTGAAAATTAAACGAAAAATGACCCAGTTGTGTGATATATCTCCTGATATAGGTGCATTTGCCGCGTCATTCATAAAATCAAACGTCGCTACGCTAAGCCTGGTTGCAATTGGTTAACTTTCTTAACATTAAGCATCAATTTTTACATTAGCATCTAAACAGGGAAAGAAAAAAGTCAACAGCACCTGCTGTCAGTTGCGACATCCGTTAAAATCAGTAGAAACGTCTAGAACGAGCCTATATTTCGAGAATTAAAAGTTAGCGAAAGTTGTAACAGGCGTTCTAAGACTTGGATTTACGACCGACTTCAAAAAAAAGGAGATTTTCAATTCGACCGAACCGATTTTGAAAGCTGGTGCTTCTCATGTGATTGCATATAAATTTGATCAAGATCTGACCAGTGGTTTTTTAGTTTTCCTTAATAATACGTATTTAATTGACTTCCACTACAACAACATTTTTATTTAAACAAAAATTTTAATTTTTACCACTAGTTTAATGCATTATTTTGTTTTTAGGTGATATGAACGTCATCTGCAGTAGTGGTAACATTTTGATTACATATTAAAACACATTTTTTTTTAGCATTTCAGTTCGGTTTCTTACTTAAGATTTCTGTTTACAGAAAAGCCGGAAAACTAAATTATTCTTTCTTAATAGAATATTTTACTAATTTCTTACAGATGCCAGTACCTGCAGCAAGTAGCACCATTTAAATTGTTCACCCAATATAATAAACTAAAGGCGTAATTTACATCTCGCCAAACTAATTTCTTTATTCTACGTTTTAGGTTCCTGCATCATCGATACCTACAAAACACTACTTGATCATCGATACTTACAAATTTTTTTTTGCAGATGTGCCCTGTGTTTTTTCGTTTTAGAATGTCTTCGTCATTATTTATTTACTTTTCTATGTTTAAAGGATTTCTTCATAAGTATTACCGCGATCGTATTACCGAAGACCTCACTCTGTTATTCTAATTATGTCTGTGTGACATTTGCAAAACGTCATTTCATCAACTTATATATAGTTCAATCATATATTTTCATTTCATTTCACAGCTAGAGACAGCACCGTTGTCAGTATGGGAATGAAAATCAATCCACCACATGGCACAATCATTCATGTCTCTTCAGGACAGCAAACTAAGTAAGATTTTTTTGCTTAAACCATCCACCATCCATCCATCTATCGATTAGATCCAAAAAGTCCACTGCTGAACTAAGGCCTCTCTCACAGATTGCCTCACAGGAGTGCCCCAAGGTATATCCACTGACGTCCCTTGGGTATCGTCAGGGACGGCAGAGGTATGTGAAGCAAGAGATGGACAGCAACATTTTCTTGATAACAAGTTAATATAATAAAAAAACTGCGGTTGCCAACCCGCTTGCCAAGCGTGGCAACTATGGCAAATATCCCCCCTATTGGGCAAGCTACGGAGGAGCCCTATGTTCACCCGTAGACTTGTGTTAAACTATAACATTTTGGATAGATGAATGGAAGACATCCTTCTAATTTCACTATGGAATTAAGGCTTATGAATTTTATGTTCAGAAATTTATGAGTATAAACACTATGCGTATAAAATCTCTATATATATGCACTATGCATATAAAATCTCTAATCTTTTATAAAGATTAGTATTGTGCGGTATTATAACTACATTAACTTATAACTACAATGATTACCTCATTATGAAACATTTATGGAGTATTTAATGTATACTTTTTAAATATGTAATGATCTATTTATGTATTCAACAGTGTCTCCGCATCGGGAATTGCACAAGATGGCACCGGCATGTACATAAAGCAAATAGACCGCAACGCTATTCAGATACAGGCGTCGAAAGACGGCCAAAAACAAGATCTCTCAACGAACAAAATGCAAAACACTGCACAAAACGTTCAAATGATAACCGTGCCTCAAGGCATGACTGTGCTACAAAATCCATTAAACCTTGGTCAAATGTCGACCGTCATTGGGCAACCGAATAGCCAGGTCTATATGATTCCTGCAAACCATCCGAATTTAGTCCAGGGATCGTTGCCTCCGGGCTTAATTGGGCAGCAAATGCTGCAGCCAGGGCAGAACGTCACAGTAATGCAGCATAACCAACTAGGTATGCCAGGTGGAGTACAATACAACATGCCATTGATGCCAATGAACATGCCGCCGAATTCGCACTACATGCCGACTGGCATTAATTTGAATACGCAGCTGTCAGCTCAGCAGTTGAACGCTGCATTAGCGGGACAACAGCTCACGAATCAAAATTTATCTGTATCTGGAACTATTCCGATAGTGCAGGCACCACCACCGTCTTCACCGATGACAAATCCCCAACAAACTAACCCAGTGTCTCAGCAGCCGCCTGTGCAACAGATTGTACCACAAAACTCGACGTTCATCACACCTACTTCTCAATACACGGGAATGCCCCCGCAATATATGGTGCAAGCAAACTCCGGCAATTTGTCCGTACCAGGCAGCAATCCTACTGTTCAGTATTCTTTATCAACAAATCCATCCAATCCTGCAACACCAACTAATGGCAACGCCCAATTAAGTGCTGGGGTCGACAGCGATAATTCAAATGGGGCTTCAAATCAAACTAGTTACATTTCGTCTTCGTCACAGGATAACAGTTACGCGCTATCGAGTACTACTGGCGTGCAGAACCCCGGGCAACAAAATTTCTCAACTGATGGTACTCCTTCTCAAACGGCTGGATTCGCACCTGGGAGTCAATCGGTTAACCAAAACTATAACGCCACTAACGGAAGCAGTGCCCAAACCCCAAATTACAATGTTGGCCAAACAAACACGTCGCAACCTCCGGCAAGTTATAATCCTGGGAATGGATCTAATTCACAAACCAACCAAAACTACGGGGGCTCAAATGCGCCCAGCTCTCAAAACACATCTCAATCTAACTTTTCGCCTTCAACCACACCTGGGCCAAGCCAGTCGTATTCCAATGCAAATTTACCCAATTTGTCCAATGTGCCATATCCACCAAACCAAAATTCGCAGAACCTGTATCCTAATGCCACTGGACAAAATTTGGCGGCTTACGCCAATAACCAATATCAGTATAATAGCAGGCCGTGGTTTAGACCTCGATACGGTTCACCACAAAGCTCTCCCTACGGCGGCGCTGGGTCCGTACCCTCTAATGGGCCCCCAATGCCAGTACCTCCGCCTTCGGGGAATTACAATTACTGGCAAGACAGTTGAGACTTTGACACTTTTCTTGAACATGAAATTATCCTGGAATAAAGTTAATGAATATGTAATTATATCATCTAACACCAAAATCCCTGGAGGAAGAAAAGTATTTTGGTAGAAATGGTGTTCCAGTGATGTATAATTCTCGCTCTGTATATAAGCCGTAATGACGTCAATAAAAGGAACAATATTTTGTTAATAAAACCTTTGAGGTTATTGTATATGTGACTGACACTTACTAAGAACAATCGAATGAACATTTTGCGACGTTGTATTACGCTAATATATGTTTATGTTCTCATAAGTAGAATTTCTGTTAATAACAATTATGTATATTGTAAGATTAAAGTAAGAAAGACTGCTGATAAATATAGATAAATATATTACATTTATAAAATGTATAAAGAAATGTTTACAAAAATGTCTATCACCGCAAACAAGTCTTTTTATTTTTAATCAACTTCAAAAAGGAGCAGGTACTCAATTCGACTGTATATTTTTTTATATGTGTTAACTCGGAACTTTTTTCTAGGGGAACCGATTTTAATGTTTCTTTTTTATTTGAAAGCTGGTGCTTCTCGTGTGGTTTCATAAAAATTTGATCCAAATCTTACTTTCTTCAATAGAAATAAATAAAATAAGAACATTGATGATGTTCTCACTTTATTAATATTGAAGTTAGTTAGTTGTACATAAGTTTTAATTTTGCCACTTGTATATTATAAACTAAAAATAATAGGGGGTGCTAAGAATCTCCGGTGGAGGTTCGGTTGCCACCTACGACGACTCGACCTGGCAACATATAACGCACGCACCCTGAGGACTGACGAGAAGATACTGGAGCTGGTAGAAGAGGTAGACAAGTTGCGCTGGCATATTATTGGATTACCCGAGGTCCGAAGAGAGGGGGAGGACACGGTAATCCTCGAGTATGGCAACTTGTTCTATCACCGGGAGGGCGACCATCTGTCCCAAGGAGGTGTCGGATTTATCGTCCACAAGTCTCTCGTCAACAATGTTGTAAAGAATGAGAGTATGTCGACGAGTGTCGCGTACCTGATACTCAGAATCACCAAACGGTATTCGCTGAAGGTCATACAGGTTTACGCACCAACCTCGGCCTATCCCGATGAAGAGGTGGAGGAAATGTATGAGGATATTACTAGAGCCATTAATTCCTCCAAAACCCACTACACGGTGTTGATGGGAGATTTCAACGCAAAACTAGGCACTAGAGAAAGCGGTGAGCTGAAGTTAGGGAAATTTGGAGTAGGGCAACGGAACCGTAGGGGCCAGTACCTGGCTGACTTTATGGAGAAAGTCCTTCAGAGGCTCTTTGATTCCGTTCTCCATGATGGCACTACTCCGGAAGCGTTAAGAAGAAGTGCGGTGGTCTTGTTCTTCAAGAAAGGTGACAACGCCCTCTTGAAGAACTACAGACCGATATCGCTTCTGAGCCGCGTCTACGTGCTGTTTTCTAGAGTCATTACGAATCGTCTCGCACGCAGACTCGACTACTTCCAGCCTCCCGAACAAGCCGGTTTCCTAAAAGGCTTTAGTACCATAGATCATACATACATGTCCTTCGGCAAATTGTACAGAAGTCTCAAGAGTACAATCTACCACTTTGCCTGGCGTATGTGGACTATGAGAAAGCCTTTGATTCCGTCGAAATTTGGGCGGTGCTACAGTCTCTTCAGCGGTGCCAAGTTGACTGTCGGTATATCGAAGTCCTGAAGTGTTTGTACAGTAGGGCTACGATGGCTATCCGAGTACAGAACCAGAGTAAGAAACCTATCCAACTGCAGAGAGGTGTAAGACAGGGTGACGTTATTTCCCCGAAACTCTTCACCGCTGCATTGGAAGACGTTTTCAAGCTACTGGACTGGAAAGGATACGGTATTAATATCAATGGCGAGTACATCACTCACCTTCGATTTGCCGACGATATAGTCCTTATGGCAGAATCGCTGGAGGACTTGAGCACTGTGCTCAATGAACTCAATAGTGCCTCCCAACGGATAGGTCTTAAGATGAACATGGACAAAACAAAGATCATGTTTAATGTCCATGTCACACCTATGCCGGTAGTTGTTGGGAGCACTAAGCTCGAAGTCGTTGACGAGTACGTTTACCTGAGACATATAGTCCCACTAGTTAAGTCCAACTTCGACCGAGAGGTCAATCGACGGATTCAACTCGGCTAGCTAGCGTTCGGGAAATTACGACACATCTTCTCGTCAGGTAAACCTCAAAATCCCTGAAAACTAAGTTGTACAACCAGTGCGTGTTGCCAGTGATGAATTACGGAATCGAGACGTGGTCCTTCACTGCTGGCCGTATGAGGACGCTCAAAGTCGCTCAGCGAGCTATGGAGAGGGCTATGCTCGGAGTTTCTCTGCGTGATAAAACTCAGAAATGAGGATATCCGCATTAAAACCAGGGTGACCGACATAGCCCAACGGATTAGTAAGCTGAAGTGGCAATGGGCCGGCCATATAGCTCGAAGAACCGACAACCGTTGGGTTGAAGAAGGGTTCTCGAGTAGCCGCCTCGTACCGGTAGGCGAAGTGTAGGGCGACCCCCCACTAGATGGAGTGACGACCTGGTAAGACATGCAGGAAGTCGATGGATGTAGGTGGCTCAGGACCTTGCTTTGTGGCATTACTTGGGGAGACCTATGTTCAGCAGTAGACTTGTGAAGGACTATAATGATGATGTTGATGATATTATAAACCTTTTCTCCTATAAAATATCTGTCGCAGCGGTATTTAGTGCAGCTAAACTCATACACTTCTGGACTTCTTGTACCCATACGTTAATGGTATTTTAACAGTGGTACACCCACACGGCAGCCTTTGCTATTGCACGTTTGGGCCATCTCGAACCGGGGTGGTACCAGGACCTCACAGAAGATTAGCGTAAAGTAGAAGCTCTGCTTCTGCGTTTCGTCTGGTGAGTTCAGGTGGCCGGAGGTCCAATTCCCCCCTCTTCCTTTAACATGGTAGCGGAATTAAATAAAGCATTACCCCAGGAGGGTATCAGCACCCCCGGTGACGGAGAATCCCTCGCTGAGCATCCACACCCAAGTTACCTTACTCTTTCTAAGCGTGGGTGCTCATGCTGCCCCGTGTATTTGGGGGGGGGAGGGGGGTTAAAATTCCGCTCGAGACTAAACCTGCTCTGGGCAAACAGAGCAATAAGTCAAAGGCGCCCCCTGCCACGCTAAACCCTAACGCCGTCCCCTACCATCCGGAAACGGCGAAGTTGGTCTTGCCCTTTCTAACCGAGACACAGGCTGATACTTTGTATCTCTGCTACCCGGGGTACAAATCAGAACACTCCTTTGTGCCTCAGACTGGAGTTTGCGTGTACGTCAAAGTACATCGACATCTGTCTTCGACGTCTCGACAGCTTTGAAGGTAAGGACCTGTCCGTCTTATGGCTGCGCGTAGACAGCGATGACCACCCCCGCGTCTATGGGTGCCTGTATAGGTCCCATAGCGGTAATGCCGACACAGACCGTTTCATTGACCACGTCCAAATGGCTGCAGACTCCGTGCTACAACAGGACCCATCCGCAGAGATCGTGATGCTTGGTGATTTTAATGCCCACCACGCTGAATGGCTTGGTTCTCGTTTAACCGATCATGCGGGTAGATCTGTTTATGACTTTGATTTGGCATATGGTCTGATACAACTGGTTACCTCGCCTACGCGTATCACAGATGGTATCATGGATCAACAGTGGTAGAGCCACGCGGCAGCTTTGCTGTTGCACGTATGGGCCGGCTCAAACCGGGGTGGTACCACGACCTCACAGAATACCGGCGTGAAGTGGAAGCTCTGCTTCCGCGTTTCGTCTGGTGAGTGCAGGTGGCCGGAGGCCCAAATCCCCCCCCATCAACATTGTAGCGGAATTAAATAATGATCGACTACCCCAGGAGGATACCAGCACCCCTGGAGAATCCCTCGCTGAGCATCCACGACCATGTTTCTCCACTTCTGAGCGTGGGTGCTCAGGCTGCCCCGCGTATTCTGGGGGGGGGGGGGGCAAAATTCCGCTCAAGACTACAACTGCTCGGAGCAAACGGAGCAACAAGACCAAGGCGACCCCTGCCACGCTGTCCGTGAATTTCTGCAATATCAGGGGACTTCACTCTAACCTAAACGCCGTCCACTACCATCTCGAGACGGCGAGGCCGGCTCTGCTCTTTCTGACCGAGACGCAGGTGTCCTCTCCGGCTGATGTCTCGTATCTCTCCTACCCGGGGTACAAACTGGAACACTCCTTTGTGCCTCGGGCTGGAGTTTGCGTTTACGTCAGAGAGGACATCTGCTCTCGACGCCTCGGCAGACTTGAAGGTTCGGACCTGTCCATCCTTTGGCTACGCGTAGACAGCGACGACCATCCGCGCGTCTACGGGTGCCTCTATAGGTCCCATAGCGGTAATGCCGAAACAGACCGACTATTCGACCACGTCCAAATGGCTGCAGATTCGTTGCTACAGCAGATCCCCTCCGCAGAGATCGTGATCCTCGGCGACTTTAACGCCCATCACGCCGAATGGCTTGGTTCACGTTTAACCGATCATGCAGGGAGATCTGTTCATGATTTTGCCTTGGCATATGGTCTGACACAACTGGTTACTTCGCCTACGCGGATTCCAGATGTGGAGGATCATGCACCTTCCCTGTTGGACCTTCTGCTGACCTCTCACCCGGACGGATATCAGATTTCCGTCGACGCCCCTTTAGGCTCCTCGGACCATTGTCTGGTCCGGAGTGTGGTGCCACTCACGCTGAAATCGCGGTTGCATTCTGCAGGCTGCCGCCGTGTTTGGCACTATAGGTCAGCCGATTGGGATGGGATGCGGTCTTTCTTTGCATCCTACCCTTGGGGGCGGGTTTGCTTCTCGCCAGATGATCCCAACGTTGTTACGGACTCTGTTGCTGATGTGGTACTTCAGGGTCTGGAACTTTTTATTCCTTCCTCTGTGGTGCCCATT